TTATAATAATTTAATATAAAAATAATAGATTTAAATTTAAATAGTAGATAGTGAAGGTGATTATTAAGAAGATAATTTTGAAGATAAGCAATAAGATTGTATTAAAAAAATAATTCAATATGTTTTAATTAGAATTCAAATTTTTTTGATAATAATATTTAAGATATAAAAATTAATATATTTTAATAAATTTGAAAATTAAATTTTATTCATTTTTTTAATAAACATATTATTATAATTCTGAATTATATAAATCATGTATTTTTAAATACCTTTTTATTTTTATTTATATAAATTATATATTAGAAATTTATTAAATTATTAAATTTCATATATTTAATTTATTTTTCTTTTTTCTATTTGAAATACTATTTTTTTAAATAATAAAAAAAATTTTGAAATAAAATAAAAATGAAGTAAAAAAAAATATATGAAAAGCTTAAATAAAAATTAAATTATTTTATATAAAAAATTTAAATAAAACTTTTTTTATATAATAAATGAATTATAAAGAATTATTATTAAACATTCAAAATGTAAATACATATAAATATAAATGTAAAAAAATATAAAAATTATTAATATTATAAAAAGATATTTATTTATAATATAAAAATAAAAATAAAAATAATAAAAAAAAAAACATAAATTAATTTAATAAAAATTTTTTATTTATAAATATATATATATATATATATATATATATATAAATATTTAAATATTTTTACATTTTTAAATATAAATATTCAAAAAAAATTATATTATTTTTTAAATAAATATAAATAAAAAAATATTACATATTTATTTTCTATTATTAAGATCATTAATAAAATAACAGAAAGAAATATATTAATAATTTATCTTAAAGATATAATTATAATTTATTTTTTACTTTTTTTTCTTTAAATTCATATTTAAATAACATTAATTATATATTTATCAAAAATTTTAATATAAAAACATGTATGTTCCAAATTTTTATTTCTTATTAATTATCATAAATTTTTTACAAAAATATAAATAAATAAAATTTTAATTAACAAAATTAGATCGAAAAAATATAATTTTTTTTAAAAAAATATTGTTATATTTATACAAATAATATATATTTTTATATATATTTTATTTTTAATAAATAAAATAACATATAAATTTATATATTAATACATAATATATTAATTTAATAATTTAATATAAATATTTTTATATATATATTTATATATATAAATTTATTTATATATTATATATATATTTTTTTTTTTAAATAAAAAATTTATACAAATAATATATCTTTTAATTATTACTTATAAATAATTTTATTCATATTAATGAATATTTTATTTTCATTATAATTTTACTAATTTACAATTTAATTATAAAATTAATCTTAAAATCAAATTATCATTTTTATTTTTTTTAAATAATATATAATCTTTTTTTATTATATTTTACTTATTTTTCTTCTAATTTTTTTTTTTTTTAGAAACTAATTAAATATATGCAAAAATTTATTTATTTTTTTAAAATTATTAAATAATTTTCTAATTTTAAATAATCATAAAGATAATAATGTTAATCGATCTAAAAAACATATAATATATGAAAATTATAATTATATGAAAAATATATTAATTATTAAAATGTAAATTATATTACTTTATTAAAAAAAAAAAAATTAAAAATATATAAGCAAATTATTATAAATTATAATTATTTTTTTTTATATATATAAATTATATATATATTTTTTTATATAAATATAAATTAAATTATTTTATATTAAATTATTTTTTATTTTATTTATTTATTTAAATTATATTAAATCTAATCAAATCTCAATTTCTTTAATTTCCGGTTTTTTATAATGTTTCAAATTATAACAAACCCCACTTGCTTTAAATGGTGCATGCGCCCCATAAGGTTTTACAAACCCATTAGAATTCTCTACATAAGTATCAAATCTATGTTCAGCCTTTGTTTTAGTTAAAAATGGTGTGAAATTTTTTTCTAAATTTTCTTTTTCTAATTTCAATTTTTTTTCTTCAAAAAACTTTATTTTATTTCTCAAAAGTTTTTAATATTCTAATTCTGAATCTCCAGTTGGTGCTTTTCCTTCATTTTCTTAAATTTTTGCATTTTCAACAATTTCTTATATTTCTTTTCTTTCTCTTTCTAATTTTATAATCATAGCCTAATACATTGATAATTCTGATATTATAGACATTGTTTACCGAGTTATTTATTTCAGTCTTTGTTAAAAAGAACCTAGTTTTTCAGATAATTCAAGTGTTTCTTGTCTTCCAGAAAGCACTTCATCTCTCAATTTATCACTTATATTGCTTATTTCATCTAATACTAGCTCTTTTTGAAGCTCTTCTTCTTTTTTTTTATTAAGTCTTTCCTCAAGAACAAATATTTTAGCATTCAGAGACTCCAAATCATCATCTTCACCTTCTAATTCTCTCCATCTCTTCATATTGAGGGGATCTTCTAATTTCTGAGATAACTCTAAGTATATTTTTTGTTTACATTTTAATTACTCTTTGATAGTAACAACTTATTGAGCTAAAAAAGGAACCAAATCAATGTTTTTTTAAGCAATAAGTATCTATCTTTTCTTTTCTTTAATTTCTAGTTTTAGCATTCTAGCTTCTTCTGCGATTTTCTTCAAATCAAGTTCTCCATTATTAAGTGTTTTTTCACAAATATTAGATTTTTCATACATAATACATAATTAATCATTTCTATCAATTAATTAAATACCTATATAATTTCTACTTTCTGTAGATATTTAATATTTCTTATTTAAACTTAATATTTAACTTTCTAAACTTTCAATAATAATATTTAATTTTTCTATTTCATTTACATTTTAATCAATTATTTATTTTTTATTCTATTTATTTTTTAAATAAATATAAATTTATATATATATATATATATATATTTATTATATTTACTAATCGTATAAATTCTAATTTATTTAATTAAGTATTACTTCTATCCCTTAAACTAATTTAAAGTTGCACTGTATGATTATATTATAGTCCACTTTAAGCTTTTTCCTAAGCCTCATTTTTTAATATTTCTAATTCATTTTAAGAAAGTTTGATTCTTTCTTTTAATTCAGCTAAAGTCTAACTACTATTTTAAATCAAAGAAACATATTTATTTCTCACGCCTTTAGTTTATTCATATAGTTATTTTACTGAATTTAATTAAAAATTGATTTCTTGGTATCGTTTACCCAAATCTAATATAATTAATTCTTTTATTTTTAATTCCTCTCGACTTTCCCTGACTTCTAAATTCGCTTAAGATGCTTTTCTGGCCATTGTTTCCCTTGTATTAGTTAAAGCCATTATTTTTTTTTTAGTTTAATATTCATATTATTATTATTATTATAATTAATCTTCTAATTCTTTTATTTATTTAAATATATATTCTTTTTATTTATCTTTATCTCCGTTTTATAACATTACATGTTTAGCTTTATGTTCTATTAGTTTATTTTCTTAAGAAATTTCAGTATTTTCTTTTTCTTCTTTTTTTATGTTTTTTTTTATTTACTAAGAACTTTTTTATATTTTTTAAATTGAAATTTAATATTCAGAAATTTTTATTAGTAAAATTTCTTTTTAATTCTCTTCTTTTTTATACATTCTTTTTATCTATTCAATTTACTTCTTTAAACTTTCCACAAATTCCTCATTTCTATAATATTCTTTTTCAAAAGCTTTTATTTCAACTTCGTTTTAAAACCTTAATGATTGCTTTTCGTCTAAAAGAATTCCTATTTTTTTTATTTCTTCCATTAATTATTTTATATCTTTTTTTTCATTATTTATAAATATTATATCTTTTAAATTTTTTTCAGATAATTCTTTATCTTTAACAATTAAACGTTCATTTTCTTCTGATTTTTCTTTTATTATATTATTAAATTTAACTATCTCCTCATTTATATTAAATAAATCTTATTTAATTAAAATATTTGCTTAAATAAGCATTTATGATTTCTTTAAATATTTATTAGGTTCATCTTTAATCTAAAAAACAAAAAAAATTATAAATATAAAAAAAAATATATATATATAAATATATATATATAAATATATATACATATATTTTTAACAATATTTATATATATATGTATATTTTTTACTTAAGAAATTATATTTTATTTTTAACTAATTTCTTCTATAATAGAATTATTTTAAATTTAAAAACTTTTGATTTTTCCTTTTTGTTCAATTAAATATTTCGTTTCATATTCCACATTTTATTATTTTTTTTAAATTTCATCTTTTAATTTATCAATTTATTAAATTAGACTATTTTCTTCAATTTATATTTGATATCTTATTAATTTTTCATCTTCTTAAATACTTATTTCTTTTTCTTAAATATTAGCTTAAATTTTATCATGTTCATTTAAAATTTAATCTAAAGTTCTTCTAAGATTTTCTTCTTCTAGTTCTTATTTTTTTATACTAGATTGATAACTTTTATATTTATTTTCAATGTTTTCTTGTTTTATTGATAGTTCTTCAAATACATCTTTACTTTACTTTATTTCTAATTATAATTGTTTTGTTTTTAATGGAAGCGCCTTTTGGTTTTGGAATGATTTTACTATAGTTTAATGTAATAAAATGAAATTTTGTTTAAGTCTTTCATTCTATTCATCGCTTATTTTATTTGTTTTTTATAAGTTTTATAATATTCTTAAAGCCAAATTTCCATTTAAATCTTATAATTAATCTATATCGTTCATTTATTTATTTTTAAAATAAAATAGTTATTTTTTTAATATTTTTTTTTTTTTAATTGTATTTCTTTATATTATTAAAATATATGATTTATTTATTTTTAATATCAAAGACATGTATATATATATATGAATATTTGATAAAGTTATTTATATTTTAATTATTTTAAATAAAAATAAAGCAAAAATTTAAATTTAGATAAATTAATGAAATCTTTATTTTAAAATTTTTTTCCAATATGTTTAAAAAATATTATTTTTTTTACTATAAACATAACGAAAAAAAAAAAACTATTATTAATATAAAATATAAAGATAAAAAAAATTAAATTTACTAATTATACGAAATCTTAATTATAAAAACATATAACCAAAAACAAAATAAAGTTATTAAAAATAATTTACAAATTTATAAACTTTAATTTATCTCTTTAAAATTTTTAATTTTTTTTATTATAATAAATATATCTAGATTTCAAATAATTTTTTTTTTTTTATTATTTAAATATGTATAAATTTAAATTAGTAAAAAATTAAAATAAAAAAAAAATATATATATTTTTTTTTGTAAAATTAAATATTTTATAAAATAAAAAAATAAATACAAAAAAACAAGATTATTATTTATGTTAGTTACGATTTTTTATTTAAAAAAAAAAATTCTAAAAATATAAATATATATATATATATTAACTTTTCATTATGATTAAGTATTAATAGTGTTAGAAATATATTCCCAAAGTTCATTTTTCTAATTTATATATTATAATATAATATTTTTTTGTATATATTATATTGATAAATATATATATAATTACTAATTTTGTAAATTCTATTTCATAAGTCGCAATTTATTTCATAGTTATAAAAAATGTTTATACTTTTTCAGCCTTTTTAATATAAAAAAATATTATTATTTTATAAAAAATATATCTTACTTTAAATTTATCAATTTCTTCATATCCTAATATTACAGTCATTATATCAGTAATATAAGAAATTTATTTAAAATCATTTTCATTTTTATCAATATCATTTTATATAGCTTAAACACTTTATTCTTTTGTTTTATTAGAGAAAATGTTTTTAATACTGCTTTTACCAGCCATAGTTTTTTATTATTCAAGTTTTAAATCTTTTGATTTATTTTCTAATTTTTCTTTTGTTTATTTATATTATTATCTTCCTTCTAAAGCTTCTAAAAATGCTTTTATTTCTTTAGATTCTTATCTAATCATTTCATAAAGTAATTTAAATTTATTTTTTGATTGTAAATCTTTCTACAAATATTTAATATTAAATAATTGATATTAATTATATAATAAAATAATTACTATTTGTTAAATGTAATTTTATAATTGTTAATCACTTTACTAACTAAACAGTAATTTTTAATCATTACCAACATATTCTATTAAACAATTCTTTTCATATTCCGGCATTAAAAAGCTTAGGAAACTAATAAAATTTTCTCCTTCACTATCTCTACTTGCTTATATATTTTTTGCAATGTCTTTATAGTTTTCTAACATAGAATTAACTTTTTTAAGATAAGTATTAAAAGTGTCAATTTTAGATTCTAAAACACTATTTATTTCTTTACCACTTAAGTATTTGAAGCTATTTTGATATTTTTCAATAATTTCATTATTTCCTTAAGTTTGTAATTATTTAAAAGCTTTCTCTATATCAGTTTATGTATTTCTATTTTTTATAAATACATATATATAATTATAATAAAATAATTACCTAATGAAAATTTAAAGTTCATCTGATTCCCATAAATGCAAAGCTTAAGCAACTTTTTATATAAATACTTCTAATTAATTTCTTCTATCTTCAACAAAGGAATTATCCATATTTCCTACAGTCTTTTTAGAAGGAAGAGGTGGAATATAACATGAAGGCCATCTTGCAACTAATTATTTTCTTAAATGATAAAAATCACTGAATCTTCTCTAAATATCAAAAACACCTTTCTAATATTTTATATTTAAATAATTTATTATATTTATATGTATATATATTAATTATTTAGGCATTTTTATATTTTTTATTTTCATTTTTGATTTTATTTTTTAGTAAACAAATCAACAAAAAAAGACAATAAATAATATGATTATTCCCACAATATTTTATATTATTGTGTTTTTAATAAATAAAATTAAAAAAAAAATTTAATAAGTAAAAAAAAAAAATATATATATATATATATTTATTAATTACTTAATCTTCTCCTTTTACTGTGTATATTATATATTTTTGTAATCCTTCTTTTACTTCTGGGTTACATACAAAGGCTTAAACCTATAATATTAATTTATTATATTTATTTCATAAAATAAATAATAATTTTTTACTTTTTAAATAGTATCTTCCATTTTATTGATTTTTTTGTTTTTTTAATTTTTTTATATTAATTTTATTTGTATTATTTTTATATTATATATTTTGTTTAAATGATTTTAATTTTTTATCTAGTCGCATTATATAGATTTTAATTTTAATAATATAATATATATTTAGTTTAAAAAAAAAAAAAACTAAATTTTTAAATAAAATATTAAAAATTAATAAAAAATAATTTTTTATCTTTTTCATTATTAATATTAATTAACATTATTAAGAATGTATTCCCAAAGTTATGTTTTCTTTTATAATTATAAATATAAACATATATATATATATATAATTATAATATTTAAAATACTAATTTTGTAAATTCAATTTCATAGCTAGAAATTTATCTTAGAGTTTTGAAAAAGGTTTATTCTTTTTCAACCTATATTTTTAAAAAATATAAATATAAATAAAATACTAAAATACTTTAAATTTATCGATTTCTTCATATCCTAATATAACTGTCATAATATCATAAATAAATGAAATTTATTTAAAATCATTTTCATTATTATCAATATCAATTTAAATTAATTAAACACTTTCTTCTTTAGTTTTATTAGAGAAAATATTTTTAATACTACTTTTACCAGCCATAGTTTTTTATTATTCAAGCTTTAAATCTTTTAATTTATTTTCTAATTTTTCTTTAAATTATTTAAATTATTATCTTCCTTCTAAGGCTTCTATAAACGCATTTATTTCTTTAGATTCTTATCTAATCATTTCATAAAGTGATTTAAATTCATTTCTATTATGAAGTTCTTTCTAAATATATTAAAAAGAAAAAATAATATTAATATTTATATTTATAATTATATTTATAATATATAATATACAATTTATTAAATTAAAGTTTATAATTGTTAATCATTTTACTAACTAAAGATAAATTTTTAATCATTTCCAACATATTCTTTTAAACAATTATTTTCGTATTCTGGCATTAAAAAACTTAAGAAGCTATTAACATTTTCTCCTTCACTAAATCTACTTGTTTATAAATTTTTTGCAATGTCTTTATAGTTTTCTAACATAGAATTAACTCTTTTAAGATATGTGTAAAAATTATCAATTTTGAACTCAATAGAACTGTTAATTTCCTTACCATTTAAATACTTAAAACTGTTTTAGTATTTTTCAATAATTTCTTGATTACCTTAGGGTTATAATGACTTAAAAGCTTTTTCTAAATCAGTTTATTAATTTCTAAATATTATATATAAAAATATATATAATATATATATTTATATATTTAATATTTTTTTTTTTTATTTTTATTTTTTTTTTATTTTATATTTTATTTATAAATTTACCTTATAAATATTTAGAATTCACCTGATTCCCATAAATGTAATGTTTAAGCAATTTTTTAAGTAAATACTTCTAATTAATGTCTTCTATCTTCAACAAAAGCATTATCCATATTTCCTACAGTTTTTTTAGATGGAAGAGGTGGAATATAACATGCAGGCCATCTTGCAACTAATTATTTTCTTAAATGATAAAAATCACTAAACCTTCTCTAAATATCAAAAACACCTTTCTTATTTTTAATTTTTACATTATTTATTATATTTATATATTTATTTATAAATTAACTTAATCTTCTCCTTTTACTGTGTACATAATATATTTTTATAATCCATCTTTTACTACTGGATCACATACAAATGCTTATATCTTGAAAAATATAAAAATTTAAACTTTTTATTATTATTTTTTACTTTTAAAGTATTATCTTATTCCATTAATTTATGTTATTTTTTCTTTTCTATAAAAAAAAATAATTAATTTAAAATTAATATATAAAATTTATATACAAATATACATTTATATACATAAATAAGATACAAAATATTATATTTATTTAGAAATTATATGGATTATTTTAAAGCAAATCTAAATAATTATAAAATTTATTTTTATTAAATAAAAAATAAATTCTAATTCAGTAAATCTTAAATAATAATATATTAATATAAAACTTAATATTATTTTTTTAAATATATATAAATATGTATGTATATAAATAATATTTTTAATTTAAATAATAATTTTTTTTTAAAAAATAAAATTTAAATATAAAATCTAAAAATGATTTAAACTCAAATACCTACAAAGACTAAATATAACAATACTTATAATCACCATCAAATTTTTTTTGACGACGAATAATCTTAATAATCTCCAGATATACATATTATTAATTAATAACCATCTAAAAGTATAATCTAAAGACCTTAATCTTAACATAAATCAACTATTTTTTCTGTCTAAAATGATTTAGAAGATACCAAATCTCTACGTAGAGCTGTTGCACATTAAAAAGATCTTACACACGATTAATTATTTGGTAAATATATTGAAAATGATTAAAAAAATATTCCGTAAAAAACTTAATTATGTGAAAAAAAAGTCTAAAAATCGGCAAAAAACAACTAAAAATAGCCATTAATATCTCCAAATATGATGTGGTGGGATAAACCATCTCAAAATCAAGACGATGATTCTGTATTTACAAAAAACTATGCAAAAGATCGTAAATTTATGGATTTTTCAAGTAAAATATTTACTGAAAATCCAATAAAATACGAATAACAGGAAAATGTGAAAAAAGAAGTTGAAAAATATTCAATAATAACAAACCTACCAAAACAAGAAATATAAAAAATAGAAACAAAATAAAATAAAAAAGAATCTGAAAAAGAAGATATAGAAATTCGTAAAAACAACCGAAATTATTCAAATATATTTTTAAATGAAAATTTAAAAGTATAATAAGATTAAAAATAAGAAAATATTAAAAATAATAATATTCTTTTTTTACCTAATAATGTGAAATAAAGTTAATTTGATAGTATTAAATTTAATCCTTAAAGTAAAAATGAGTAAAATATAAATAATATTAATGCTACTTAGAGGCATTTTAATAATTTAAAATCAACTTTAGATACACATAATTATTAACAGGAGTTCAAACTAGGAATTAAAATCGAAGAACAAAATAAAAATAAAGAATAAGATGATATAAAAGAAAATATTAATAAAAAAAATACTTAATAATAGGAATTTGTTTAAGCTAAAAATGAAGATATTGTTTACTAAATTTCCTATAAGAATTTAAAGTTTAATTTTGATAAAAAAGCTTTTAGAAATTATTCATAAAATAAAGGTTTTTAAGTTCTAGTTTTTACCTAAAATTAAGCCGGAAGAGGTTAAATTTTTCTTAAAGAAAAATAAAAAAACTCAGGTAGTATTGTTAATGTTCTTGGATTTCTAAAAAGTGCGTTTGTTTAAGTTCTTGAAGATAAAAAAATTACAGGAAAATAATTTAATGAAATGAAATTTATTAAAAGAATTTGATTTTATATATAAATATATATATATATATATAATTTATTATTATATTGATTTGACTTTATTTTTTAAAAAAATAACGTTTTTATATTATAATATATATTTTTAAATATATATAAAAATAAAAAAATTTTAAAAATGAATAATGTACTTAATAATCCGATTCCTTAATCAAAATTTAAAAATTAATCCTCATAATATTATGGAAATCCTCAAAACATAACTAAATTTGATATAAATTTATTAAACGAAGATGCATTAAAAAACATGAATAGGCAAATAATATTAGAAAAAACATTCGAAATAATTTTATTTATATTTACATTTTGTTTTGATTTAATAGTAGTTTTTCCTTTATATTTATTTTATTAATTCTATGAATTATATTTAGATATAAAATAATCAAATTAAGTAAGTCCTTTAAAAGCGAATAAAATGTTTATTTTTTAATTGATTATTTGTTATATATTTGATTTTATATTGCCTATGAGTATTTTTGGAATTACTGTTTATGCATTTTTATATTTATTAACTGAAGATTTGAATATTTACCATATATGGTGTTACAATTGCTTTTTATTTTATTTTTCTTTTGTTATTTTAGTTTCTTATTAATATAAAATTAGAAATCCTAATGAAAGATTTAAATTTACGACAAAGTTTTTAAAAAAATTTAAAATACATATTTTTAATATAATAAAAATAAAAAAAAGTTATCTTTTTAAAAAATAAAGAATAAATTATTTAGGATTAGGAATATTACATCATGCATTCTAAAGAAAAATAAAATAATATTAAAGTTAAATGTATAAACACGATGAAATATATAATAAATAAAACGAATAATATTCTACTTAAATAATTTTTGATAAAGATAAAGAAAAAAATTAATTTAACGAATAAATATAAGAAATCAAATAAGAATTAGACATAGATTTATCTTTCTTTTTTTTCGATTTATTTTCTTTAAATACGCAACAAAATATAAAAAATATCACCTAAAAATAACAAGAAATAATATAAATACTTAACTAAACTGGATCTAAACGTAAAAAAAAACATTAAAAATAAATATTAAAAAAAATGAAAAAGTTAATTCCTGTGCCAATCAAAAAATCCTTTGGAAAATTTACAAAACATCAAATTAATTATATCTGATATAAAATCCTCCATTAGCATTATTCTTAATAGTGTTAATAATAAAACTAGGTTTACCAACATTATATATAAGAACAATCCACAACTTGGAAATAAATCCTTTTATAATAACAATAATATCGATTTTTTATATATATATAACAAATATGTTATATTAAACTTTAAATAATAAAGATTTACGTAAGAGAATCCTATATAGAGAAACAATAAGTAAATTATTAGATTATAAAAATTTGGACAAGGCTGATTTTTCAAAAAGAATAGATATAACATGTCCTTTATCTTTAGAAACATGGGATAATGCCAGAAGAATAGCAAATTAAATAGATATTTAAGATACTGAATAATATGAAATAAGTTACGTGTTTTTAGGATTTTATTACTTTTTTTTAGCATTAATTTGTTTTTCTATTTTTGGAGAATTTTATATTATTATTGGGAAAAATTCAGTATATATGAATGGTTTGCTTGTAATTCATGTTTGTGCTGATTTTATATTTATTACGTTAATTTTTATTGCTAGATTGTGGTATTCATAGTAATTTAATGATATTTATGATAAAGAAAAAAAATCAATAGAAAATATTTTAGGAATTTATGAAGATATAATGACTATGTTTGATTGCTATTTTTCAGGAAATCTCATTAATAAAACCGAAAACGACGTAACTGTAAATACAGTTCTTAAAATAATGGAAAAATCAGATTTTCTAGTAAAAAATAAACTTAATATAAGGGGAAGTTTATATTCTCAAAGAGAAAAGGCAGCATAAAAATTAATAAAAGTAAATATACAAACTCTCAAAAAAATAGAAAAATAGATATATATGGATAAAGAAGAATATAAACATCTAATATTAGGATTTTTCGATTTTAATTTTGGGGAAACAATTACAACTATAGGATTAGGTTTATTAACTACAATGCCATCAATATTAGATAAATTAAAAATTATATTATGGGGGGAGGATTAAGAAGTAAATAATTTTTATTATTGATTTTATTTTATTTATAAATAATTTTTTTTTTTTTAATTTTAAAGTAAATTTAAAAAAAAAATTATAAATATAATAAATAAATAAATATATATATATATATATAATATATATATATATTTATATATATATATATATATTTTTTAAAACATAAAAAACATTTTTAATAATTTTTTTATAATATTTTATATATTTTTAATTATTTTATTTTAATTTTATAAACATTTTATTTTTATGTTTTTTATATTTATATAGTTTATATTTATATATAATTACATATATTAGTTTTTTTTTTCATATATTATTTTCATTTAAATAACCAATAACTATTTTTTTTTTATCTTAAAATATAATACAATCATCTTTTTTACTAACATTTATATTATTTATTTAAATTTATTGACTTTCTTTATTTTATATATAATTTTTTTATCTTTTATTATATATAATGTATATAATTTTTTTTACGATTTTATACATCTAAAATTTAGAATTCTCCATTTGTATTAAAAATATAAACTTTATTTGTTCCTATTATTATTTTATAATTACATAAAATACAGATATAAAATTACCATTGGTAAAAATTATATCTTCACAAGAATAAAGCCATTAAAACTATTTAACAGAAACTTAAGTAATTATTAAATATTTAAGCTCTAATGAAGATATATCCCATATATATAAACAATTAGGATAACTAACTTATTATAAATAAAATAATATATATAATTTAAAAAAAATAAAAATTAATAAAAAAATTATTTAATTTAAATTTATTTAATATTATTTTTTTTTTCATTATTTTTATTTTTACTGCTTTTTGAAGCTAAATAGTTAGCTTAACAGCTGAATTTCGCATCATTTTAATTATATTATTAAATTTAGTTTTTATCAAATTAAACTTATTTTATATTAAGTTTTGCTTGATTATCTATTTTATCAACTAAAAATTTGAGAAAAAAAATAACATTTTTAATATAATTTATATTTACATTTAGTATATTATTTATTCATATCACTTTCATTTACAAAAAACTCCTCTTTAAAAACTTGCTTTTTTTAAGAAAATTATTTATAAATAAATTTAACAAAAATAATTTTTAATATAATAATTATTAAACTATATATATTAAAATATTAATTATTTACAATATTTATTCCTTTCTAAAAATTTATTTAATGATCAAATGTTGTTATAATTTTCCATGTTAAACTATTTATTAGTTTTATCTTTTTTATAATATAAATAGTTTTCTTAAAAAAAAAAATATATTATTTAGTTTGATTTGATTACTTCACCATCATAGCTACAAATAGCAATTAAACTATTATCAAAACTAGTTTATTAAACTTAACTTATTCCTAAAGAAAAGTCCTCAAGTACTATCTTAAATATTAATCCATTTAAAGGATGATAAACTAAAAATTTATACTTTTTATATTAAAAAAATAAAATAATATCTTAATTAAATTATTTACATTTAAATAAGTATCCCAAGTAGAAATATAATTATCATCAACTGCCCACATAATATCATAAATATCGAAATTTTCAGTTTAGAAATGCTAATTTTTAAATTTTAAAAAATATAAAAAAAATAATACACTTAATAATTTCCAATCTAATGTATAATAAATTCCAATATAATCTTTCATTTCTTTTCTTTCAACTAAAGCCATAAATTATCCATCAAAAGTAAAAGAAATTCCCTTTTTTTTTTAAAAAAAAAAAAAAAAAAAATCTTCTAAAAAAAAAATAAGACAAACCTTTATCAAAATGTTTTGGATTTTTAATTATACTTTAAGATTTATCACTTAAACAATAAATCGTAGCCTTTAATTATAAATTAGAAAAACTAATTATATTTTTTGAATCAGGGGTCCATATTGCATTCAGTAATCCAAATTATTAATCTTAAATTTAACAAAACCATTATTCATTATGTAAACATTTAATTTCGATTTGATGTATGCATTAAAAACTATTAATATATAATAATTATCTGGTGAAAATTGAATATGACTTATTTAATCTTAAAAATGATATACTTGTACATTTTATAAATCTTTAATTGTTTTAACCTTTTTTTTTTTTTGTTTAATAAATTAAATCGTTTGTTTAAATTTACTAAAACTTTTGTTCCGTTTGATATAGCTATTAAATTATAATCTTTTGAAAAAACAGAAATAGATACACCTTGAATAATATTTGAAAAATACATAAATATAAAAGTAAATAATTAATTAATAAATTTAAATAAAAAATTGCATTATATAAATTTTATAATTTCTTTTTTTTATATTTTTTTTTTTTTTAACAAAAAAAATATTAAAAGTATTAATATAAAAATTAAAGAAAACAAACTTATTTAAAATATATAAAATATTAAAATTAAGTTTTTATATAATTAAATAAATTAAAATTATAATATAAACTTTTAATTTATAATATACAAATGTTTTAAAACACTAATATATTTTCATTGAATATTAATTAAAATAAAAACGGATTTTATTTACAATACTATTTAGTATAAATACTTTAATTTTTATTTTAAATAATTTTCAATAAAAATATTTATTTTATTTAAAAAAAATGATTTCATAAGATACAATATATCTAAAATAATTATTAAAACTTTTTATATTTTAATTTTTTAAAAAAAGAAATTTAAATTTATTTTTGCTAACTTTTTGATACATATTAAAAAATTGATTTCAGAAAATATTTAAATTATTTAAAATTAATTTAATAAAAGATATTAATTTTTATGAAAAGATAAAATTATTTTATATTTATAAAACTTAAAAATTAATATATAATAAAAAAATGTATTTTTTAATTATTGATTTTTATATATATTATGTCTATTTTCTTTAATAAAATTTTTTAAATATAATTTTTATATTTAATTAAAACTTAAAATGAAAAATGATTTATTATTAGTTGAATAATACTTATTTTTTTAAAAATTTATTTTTAATTTCTAAATAGTATTTATTTTTAGCAACATTTAATTTTTTTTTTTTAAAAAAAAAAAATCTATATTAAATAAAGAAAGTAAAGATACATTTTATTATTAGCATTTATTTCAAATATTTCAAATAAAAATTCATAAAATATAATTATTATTAATTAATAAAACATATAATAAAAGCAATATTTTTTCATATTAGGTATTATTTTTTTCTAACTAATAATATTAAAATAAATTATAAAATCGTGTATTTTTTAAAAATATTAATTTTAAAATTTATATAAAAAATAAAAAAATATAACAAAAAAAGATATATATATATATATAAATATTATATTTTATTAGCAAACACATATTGAATAAATAAAAAAACATTCTAAAATTAATTAACAAATAATAATTTTTTTTTTTTTAAAAAAAAAATGAAATAACAATTTAAATAGTAAATACAGACAACAAAATAATGTAAGATTTCCTTAAAACTAAAATAATAAATTCTTTAAAAATATAAAATTTACTTAAATTCAAATATATTTACATAATCTGAATTAAGTTTATTTAAATTTAACTTAATTAATCTTGCTTAAAAACCAACTAGATATCTTGAAAAAGAATTAGAAATAAATCAAACTTTTTTAAAGTATTAAAACAACAAGTCTAATCTAATATTTTCTGTGGCTTACGGTAGAGCTTTTGGTAAAATAATAAGAAAATGTTAAATATGTAAAATTGGTTAACTTAGATTAGAAATAAATGAAGGAAGGTATATATGTAAAAGTAAAACTAATTAAATATAGAACTAAGAAATATAAAACTGTGGACTAGCTTTTGAAATATAAGAAGTTGAGAAAACAAATTGGATAAAATATTTAGATTGAACAATTAATCAAATAATAAAAATATATTATGTAAATATTTTTTAATTTTTTTTAAAGTATATAATTGCTATACTTTATTAATTATATTTTGAAAATTATTTAATTTCTATTTTATTTTTAAAAAGATAAAATTAAATTATTAAAAATTATGCTAAATTTATTGATTATATATATTAAATAATTATTTTCTTATATATAATATTTTTTAATAAAAATAAATAATTATTAATATATAAAAAATAATATAGAAATTTTTATATAACTAATTTAAAGATATATATATATTTATATAAATATATATATATATATATATATATTTATTTATTTTTCTTTATTTCCAATTAAATTTTCAATTTAGAATTTTATTAATTAAAATTATCATTATTAATCAATAATATTATTATTACTATTACTTATATTAATTTTGCTATTATTCATATTAACATTATTATTTCTTTTTTTCATATTATCATCATTATAATCTTGTTTTTGCTATAACTAATCATTTTAATTTAATTAATTATTATTAATTTATTTTTATTAATCATTATTTTTATATTTTAAACTTTCATTTTATTTTATACCTTTCGAAGGGTTATATCTTAATAAATCTTCAGGATTAATATTTAAATTAACTTTTTATTACAATTCTAAAAAAAATTAAATATATATAAATAAAAACTAAAAAATTATAAAAATTTACATTTCTTTAATTTTTTTAAGGTATCGATCTATCAGCTTCCTAAGCAGTTTTAAATGCTTCTTAAATTCCCATTCTATCATTTGGAAGACCTAAATAATAAATTAAAGCTTCTAATGTTTTATAATTAGTAGCATTTATATGTTCAGACTCTTCTTAAACTTATTTTTATTACTCTTATTATTATTATTATTATTATTATTATTATTATTATTATTATTATTATTATTATTATTATTATTATTATTATATGAATTCTTCTTCTTCAGCAATATTATGCATTTAAGCATTAGTGAGATTAACTCCATTATTCAATTAAGCTGAAATAACATTTAATACATTTTATCCTTTAATAGCAAGTCTAAGTAGACATTATTAGAATTCCTTATCATTAATTCCAAATTAAAATTGACCTTAAGGCGCTTATTTTTTTCTAACAACTTAATTAAAAATAATTTATATTTCTTCTTTTTTTTAAATAATTTCTGGAAAAAATGCAAACTTATGACAAAACCAATGAAAAGTTTTAAATGAAATTTCTTATGGATTTAATTAATTATTAAGGTCCCTATAAGCCAATTTTTTAAGACATTCAAATAATTCAGAAATTTTATTTTTATTTTTATTAAAAACATTTTATATTTCTTAAGATTCATATAATTATTCAGTTTTATTATTATTATAATTTTCCTTTTCTTTAATATATTTAAACTATTCTTTTACTTTTGCTTCTAATTTCTCTCTCTGATCTATTTCTAATTATTTTTTCTTTTACTCGTTTTATTCAGTTTCTTTTTTTGTTATTTATAATTTGGACATTTCTTCATCTATTTTTTTAATTTACTAAGTATTGAATTATTCGAAATCTTATTTTTTCTTTAATAATTATTAAGATTCTTTTTATTGTAATTCTTTATTTATTTTTTATTATTCGTCTTCTTTTTCTTTCTTTTTTTATTAATTTTCAATTTATTTTTGTTTCCAAAAATTTATAAATTCTTAATTCTTTTTTTCAACTTTTTAATCAGATTTTTGTTTTTGTAATTTTTAAAAATCTAATTATTATTAAATATTTTTATGTTTATCTTATTAAAGCTCTTATTTTCTATCTAAAAGATACTATTAATTCTATTAATTAAATTTGTCTTTTCTTTTTTTTTCTTTATTTTCTTCTTAATCTTTTTACATTTTCTATATTTCTATTTAATTCTTATATTTTTTGTATCTAACAAAAGTATCTTTTTTGTCTTAAATAGTAAGAATAATATCATCTAAAACACCTGCACACTAAATATAATAATAAAAAAATTAATTAAAATTTATGTATTTATATATTTAGATATTTATATATATTTAAATTTCTATATTATATATTTATTTATATATATATATATATATATATATATATTTATGTTTATTAAATTTTTTTATTATATATATTTATTACTTATTCTGCAATATTTCTGTCTTTATAATTAAAAGAAGTTATTAATAACTGCATGCATGAATTTAATTTTTTAAACGGTTCAATTTCCAGTACTCTTTTTTTCTAAATTTTTCTACTATCCTCAATATTACTTGTATTTAACTTTTCTTATTTTTTTTTTTATTTTTTATTTTTAAAATCAATTTTATATATATCCATATAATGACTCACAGGTTAAATTACAGCTCCTGGAATTATAGCTTATGCTTTATATACTTCTTTAATTACAGTTTTTCCTTAAAAAAATTAAAAACCTAATTTTCCATAGAAAATTTCATTTAAAACTACATAAGCATATTTTTAAGATTCTTTTATAGCTAATTCTCCATCTTTATCAAATATAAATTCCTCATAAATTTATTTTTCCTTTACTCTTACATATCCCTAAGGTAAAGGATATTAAGGATTTTCTTCCAATTTTTTATTTAGTTCTTTTATTACTTCATTATTCACTCTACATTATTCAGGATCATCGAAAAGAATTGTATTTTATCCTTTTGAAAATGCAGATTATCTCATATGGTCAATTAAAGCTTAAAAAGAAAAACTTAAAGGAAGGTGTCTGAGATCTTTATTTGGTTTAGAATATATATAAAATGAAAGTTAAGTTAAATAAGAAAGAAACTATTCAAATTAAAGAGACTAAATATCTTTAAGTTCACATGATTCATAATTTAATTATTTTTAATTACTATTTTTAAAAAAAGATTTTATTATTTAATTTACGAATTTCGATTTTATATTAATTAATTGTTTTTCTTTTATTATTCAGATTAATCGTCTAAAATACATTAATTTTTTTTTCTATCTTCTTCCAAAACAACTACTCTAACTAAACTTTTATGTTCATCTTTTGATAAAAAAGCATCAAAATCATAATCTTTTATTAATTTATATATCTCAGGAACACTAATAATAGAAAATTTATCCTTAAGCATATCAAAATTGTTAACATTTTTATTTACAAAACTGGAACTGAATCCCGAATTGGAATATTTAGCGAAAAGATTTTTAAAAACAGAATTATATTTTTTTTATAGTATTTATATTTAAACCTTATCCCTTTATTCTTCCAAATCTAAATCAATAAATTAAATTTAAAATAAACCAATCTTATTTTCCCTTTTTTATATATTTTCTCTTGTCCCGTATTCAAATATTGAATTATATTCAAAGTCTTTTTGATTCAATTTAGATATTCCATGTTCTAAATTCCTATATTCTAATTATTTTTAGACATAATTTTTCTCGTTTTTAATTTTTGAATATTTTTTTAAATTTCTTCTTCTTTTTTCTATTAGTGAAATTTAAAATTAGAAGTAATTTCGTCTAAATTTTAAACTATTTTTGGATCGGCATTTTTACCATTTCTTAATTAAGCTAAATATTGAATTTCTTCCTTATTAATTTTCTATTCGCCATTAGTTTTAAAAGTGCTTTATCCATATTTTTTAATAGTTCCTTCTACAATCTTTAATGAACTATATAATCCTCTAGGAAATTCTCCATTGATACTTTTTTTATGTTCTTATAAATTATTAAATTCATTATCCTTAATAACACCAATATTATTTTAAATATCCTATTATTATTATTATTATTATTATTATTATTATTATTATTATTATTATTATAAATATTATTAGTGTTCAATATAATCATTTTAATATTTTTCTAAAATATCTTTTGGATTTCCAAAAAATTCTAAAATTGAAACTAGTCCTTAATTATTTTATTTAGAAAAAATTTTTATTTAAATATTCGTATGTCCAATCAATGGTTTTATTTTTTCATTTAAAAAAGATATTTCTAGACTAACAATTTTTTTAATAATTTCAATTATTAGACCTCTTTTTTATTACTAAAAAATATCATTTTATTACTATTCCTCTGTCTTACTTTTTTAATTTTTTTTTTCTTGAGGAATTTTTTATTTTTCACTAGCATAATACATTGCCAAAGAAACTTTTATAAATTTAATAGCAAATTCTTAAATTTATTCATCATTTTAAAAATTTTATAAAATATTCAAAATAGGAATTTAACAAACTTATGAATATATGAGATCATTTAAATAAATTTTAAAAAATAAATCTAAAATTTAAATAGCACTTTTTAATTATAAGTTAATATTGTTAGAAATTTTTTAAAAAAACTCTAAATCAATAATATTAATAATGTAAGATATTTAATCCGACAATTATATTTTTTATACCAAAGGATCTAATAAAATATTTATAGGTAATGAATCTAAATCTTCAAAGCATTAAATAAAATTTGTTAATAAAAATTCTCGAAGAGTTATATTTTCAAGATTTTCAATTAAAATAACAACTAATATACTTTTATACATAAAATAATATTAAAACTAAAATAAGTAAAAATATAAATATATATATATATATATATATATATATATATTAATATATCGATAGTATATTTTATATATATATATTTTTTATTTTTTTATTGTTTTAATATATATCTTTAATTAATTATATACTTTTATATTTACCTATAAACTTTTTGAAATTTTTAATTTTTTCTGTTTACTAAAAATTATAATAATTAAAATAATAACTAGCAAGAACAAATTTATAAAGTATCATATTTATACATACATGACTACTTTTTTTCTTTTTTTTTTAATATAAAAATTAATTTTACTTCATTTAATAAAATTATTATAGATTTTTATTATTCTTCATTTTATTCTAATAAAGTATCAAATAAAGTCCATATTTTAACCAGTAGGCTTAAAGATGAAATTCTTAAATCAATTTAATTTATTGGATCATCACTAGCATTTTTTAAACAAAACTTAACTAATTTATCGATAATTCCTTTTTCAATAAACTTATATTTACAAAATAAATATATATATATTTTTATAGATTAATTATATTACTTATTATTCTAATACTTTATTTTCTTATAAAACTTCAATTAAAGATCTTTAGCAATCGATCAAATCTTTAGAATTATTTAAAGATTAATAAATTAAATTATTAAAAAGTTCATCAAAATCATAATTTGAAAATTAATAAAGACAATCTAATATATATCTACCTATGTCAGAATGTCTTTTTAAACCTAAAAATATACTTTTTATACCACCGTTTTCAATATTTGAAAACCAATCCCATAAAATAGATTGTGTTTATTATTAGAAATTAAAAAATATTTGATTTGCTAATATAGAAAATGTTTTTGCAGTTTCTTATGCTACTTCAATATTTTTACTTATAAAACCTATTTTTAAGCACTTTTAAAGTAAAAAAAATAAATTAAAATTTGTTAAATATTTATTTTTTACATTTAATGTAAATTACATATTTTATTTATTTTAATCTTAAACAAAAAAATAAATTAAATGCATGATATTTTATTATATATCCTTATATAAATTTATTATAGGACTATAAAAGTCTTTTACTCCTTTTACAAAAATTTAAGCTAAATATAAATTATTATCAGTGAATAAAATAGCAGCCTATTTTATATATATATATATATATGATTATGTAATTAATTATAAATAATTTTATATATTTTTATATATAACTAATAACATATAAAATATAAAATATTGTTTAATAATTTTATTTATTTTACTTTTTCAGGTGTTAAATTTAAATTTTTTGACAAAAGTATAATTAAATATTCCAAACAGCTTTTTGTTTCACTTACATCTTTATTAGCATCAATTTTTTTTATGTCAATTTTATTTTTTACTATTAATATTTTTTTTTTATATATATATATATATTTTTTTTACTTTCACATTATTTCATTATCGTTTTTTTATTAATTTTTTCTAATTATATTTATTATTATTCAGTATCCTAATCATAAAGATATTGAAAAAGTTAAATTATGGCATCCTCATTATTAGAAATAATATTACTTTTTAAAACAGGAGATATTTATATTTATATTTCAGAATAGCATTATTATAATATATTCCAATTATTTATTCTGTCTTAAGGTTTGTTAGAATTCTTAATTTAATCTAAAGTTGGATATATTACTTCTTATTTATATTTTTATTTTGTTAAAAGTACTAATAATTTTGCAAATAGCTAACCACTTAAAATTTAATTAGATGCTTATGTTTATAATTCAATAATATATTCTTCTTTTTAATTTAAAATATCTTTTTAGGATAATATTTTATTTTATTATAACCAATTATTAATATGAATTGGAATTTTCATTTTTTTATGTTTTTTTTGTTTTACAATATTTTATTTATTTAATATTAATTTTGTCATATAAATATTTTTTTATTCACTAAAATTTCAGAAAAAAAGAATTAATTTCTTGAGTTTTAAATTGTTTTTTAGTGGATATTAATTATTTTTTAATTCTTTTTAATTAATTATATTATATTTTTAGCGTTTCTAATTTTTAAATATATTTATTATATTAAAAAACAATTAAAATAATGTAAATCAAAACAAAAAAATATCAAAAATATTTTTCAAATTATATTTTTATATTTGTTTTAAAATAAAATGTTACGTTTTAATTTATTATGAATTTAGATTATAATTTATAATAATAATTTATTAATTTTTTAGTTTATAAATTTTAAACATATATAAATATTTTAATGTAAAATAAACTAAAATAACAAAAATAACAAAAATTATTTTTAATTAAATATAATTTTTTATAAATCAAAAACTTTCATAATTTCGAATATAAATAATAAACTGATTTATAATTTAAATTTAAATTTTAATAATTCATTTTAAATTTTGTTTAAATAAAATAACAATTTATTTTATCTAAAATTAATAAATAATTAATATTAAATATACATATTTAAACATAAATAATAAATAAAATATAGATAAAATAAATAATTATATAAAATAAGTAAGAAAAAAGAAAAATATATAATTATTTATATAAATAATATAATTAAAAATAAGAAATAAATAAATGAATTTTATATTTATTTTATATAATATATTTATTAAAAAAAAATATTGTTTTTCAAATTCAAAGCAATATAAAAAAATTGTGATCATAATTATAAATAAAATATATAAAAAATATATGAAATATAAATAAAAATATATATATTTAACAAACATCTTAAAATCATGTATATTTATTCAAATCTTAGCAGTCTTATGAGTTACTAGTTTTTTTAACATATTCAAATATAGCTTTATATTTTTAAGAATTTTTATTTTTCTCTTTTTTTTTGTAATTTTATTATAATAAAAGCATAAGCGTTTATATATTCAAATAAATAGATTATCTTAAAAAAAGATCATTTAATCCTTCATTTATAAGTTTTTAAGCAATATTAATTTTTAATTGAGTTATATAAACCATATTATGCTTTAATTATTACATTTAATAATCGAATTCTTTGTCAAAATTTTCCAATTTACTAATTATTATTTAATGAACTTTTTAATTTTCAAGAATTTCTAATTTTATTTCTTCATTTTCTTTAGTTTAATTATTACATATTTATATTTATTCGAGAAAATTTTAATTTTAATATTCTTCTTTACATTTATCTGTTTGTTAATTTTCTATTAGCTATGCTTAAAAAGAGCTATTTATTTTCAATTTTTTTTTATCATTAACTTGATTTTTTTCATTAGAAATGCTATCTAAAGTCGAATCTGATTAAATTAAATTTTTTTAACACTCATGAGTATTATTTTCTGTAGAATTTTCATTATCCTCTGTAGACTTTTATTGATATTCTAAATTTTTTAGTTAATAATCAATACAATTTTATTCATTTTTTTCTATATTTTATCTTAATTCATTATTTTGAAGATTTTAATTTTGTTCATTTTTTTTATTTTTTAGTTTTATTTATTTTTTACAAAATTTTAAGTTTTGTTTATTGATTTATTTTTTCTTAATTAATGTTTTTATTTTTTATTAGCATTTATTTTGTTTGTTTTGTATTTTTATATTCCTTTATATTTTTTTCTTTTATTGTTTAATTGGGGATTAAATTTATTAATTATTAATATTACTATTGTCTTAATAATTATGTTTTTAATTAATATTATTTTTTCCAATTTCTTTTCTTTAAAGCTTTAGAGATTTCAAAAATTTCTAGATATTTTATCTTTTTATATATGTAAAGATGTAAAATTTAATTATTATATTAATAAAATTATTAGCCAACATTATAACAATTAAAATTAAAGGCTCTTGTTATTAAGAAATAATTTCTAAAATATTTTATTATTAAATAACTATTATTGCTTAAATTAAATAAAATATAATAATAATGCATTTTCTTTTATTTTAAGAATTTAAGAATAAAATTATTATTGATATCAGAATTAGTTGTCTCCATGAGTTTTCTTAAAAATAGGATTTATATTATTATTAATATGATTTATTTTCATAATAATTTAGAAACACTTATAAGATTTCGTCAAATGAGTAAAAATCATTTATTAATAAAAAAGAATTATTGAATTCATTTGTTAATAATTTTATAAGAAATTTTGATATAGTTTAAATATTACATTTTTATTCTATTTAATTATTAAATATATGCATATTATTAAGATGGCAAAATTTTTTTTTTTTTGAATATTTAAGTATTTTTATTTTTTTGTTTGTTTTTATTTTTATTTAGTTTTTAATATTTTTAAAGAAAAACAAAATGCTTTACCGTTTTTAAATTATTTTTTTACATATATAGCGTTTCATTTAAATAAATACAATTAAACAAAGTAGATTTTAGTTAAAAAGTAATAATTATCATAAAAAATAAATTGATAACTAAAAATATATAAATACCTTTTATAAATTAAAGCGTAACTTTAATTATTTTTTATTAAGTTTATTTCATAATTATAACATTTTTTTTAATACGTAATTTTTTATATTTATATTTTTATCTTTATATTATAGTTATTTATAAAATTTTTATATAAAAGTAAAAATAAAATAAATATATTTTTTAACTATAAATTACATTATTTTTATATTTTATTTTGTCTAAAAAAAATATATAAATTCTCTTTAATTCTTAATTAATTTATTTTAAATTTAAAAAAATGTGATATTATTAAAAATATTAATAACAGTATTGTTTTTATTATTTTAAAAAATATAATGTAATAAAAAAATTAAAATAAAGTTACAAAATTAAATAAGTATTAAATTTATCATATAAATAATTTCTTTATTATCATATTATTATATTTTAATAATTTTTTAAAATAAAAATCTATTTATATACTTTTGTTATATTTAAATAGATATTATATGCATTAATTATTTTAAATTTTTACAAAAAATATAAATTTTAAAATAATTTCAATAAAATATTTATTTAAAAGTATTAAAATAATTTATAAAATTAAATATTAAATAAAATAAAAAATAATTTAAAAATAATTATAATAATATAATTATATTAATAATTTATATAATAATATATGCACTTTTTGTTATAAAATTTTACTAAACTTATTAGTAAAATAAATATAAAAGAATTTAAATTATATTAGTTTTAATAAATTATAATTATTTATCATATTTATTAAAAAAAAAAATTAAATGATAAATTAGCAATGATTGTATATTTTAAAAAGATGATAAAAACAATATAATGATAAAATACTAAACATAAAAATATCATATATATTAATATATATAATAATATATTAATATATTTATATATTTATATATATATATATATATATATAACAAAATATTAATAAATAAAATATATAATAATTAATATTAACAACTATATTTTAAAAAATAAAATGTAATAAATAATACATTACAATCATTAAAGTATATAATCAAATTCAAATAGGTATATTAAACAATATTTTTTTGAATATATATTAATTAAATATTATTATATATTTTTAATATTTACTTGATTATTGATTTTTTCTCAAATAAAAATAAAGCATATAAAGTTAAAATTTTTAAGGTTTTAAAAATTAGAATATATATAGTCCTCATATTACATATTAACCAGTAATTACATAATTACTATAATAATTTTAAGTAAACAATAATGTAGCTAATAATTTAAATCATAATGTTGTTTTGTAAAATAATTAATAATAATATATATTATACTAATAAAAAAAAAAAAAAAATGCAATATTTGGAATATTTAATTCTCCAAAATAATCAAATTAAATAAATTTATAAAATATTTAATAATAACATATAAACAAAGGATTTTCTTAATATAATATAATTAATTATAATTAATTAATTAATTAAATATAAATTTCGAATCAATAGTAAAACTTTTAAAATTGTTAATCTATATAAAATAATAATCTCTAATATTATAATAAATTATAGTTAATTGAAAGGTAAATTTTAATCAATTATTATTTTATTTTATTTTTTTTATTTTTTTTAATAATAACAAAAAATAAAAATTTATTAACAAATTCTTTTATTTATTTGAATATATAAATATATTTACTTAAACAAGCATTATAATTAAAATAAATATATATAAATAAAAGGAAAAAAAATTAATATTTTTTTTGTTAATAATTATGCACTTTTATATAATATAAAAAATATTATCAATTCAAAAAAAAATAAAAATAAATAAATTAAAATAAATAAATTATTAGTATGGATTTTGTATAAAATGCTTAACATAAGGGTTATATCCCAATAGAAATAGATAAGAAGATAATATTTCCAAGTTATGCAGATATATCAAAGTATATAATTAATGGAGAATTCGATTATAATTAATGTCATTTCGAATGCGTATTATTAAAATAAATTCCACAAATACAGCCAAATATGATGCAACCAAATATACAGCTTCAATAATAACAAAAGATAATACAATACGGCTATTTATTTAATGAATTTTTTGTAATTTGCAATGAAAAATTTAAAAAAATTCCTGACAAAGTAGTCGAATTGAAACCTAATTCAAGAATTGTTTGGGATTACAATAAAACTAGAATTCCTTTTAAGTTAATAGGATTTCATTTACTAGATGGAAAGGAGGTACATTAGTATTGCGCAGAAGAAATTTATTTAAATAAACTAAAAGGATTTCTTTCCCAGAAAATTTTCTAAGCGAGGCTTTAGGATGAATATGATGTTCTATCTTTAGTAGGAAAAGGAAATTATGCAAAAGTAAATAAAAAAAAATAAAAAATATATGTATAAAATAAAAAAATATATATATATATATATAAATATTTATAAAATATAAAACTAGGTCTATTCAATAAAACATAAAGTTACGCAAGAGAAATTCGCAGTTAAATGCTTCGAAAAGAAAAATTTAATGGAATTAGATAAAGGAATGGTAAAAAATAAAAATAAAAAAAACTAAAAAAACCAAAATTAAAAAATAAAAAAATAAAAAAAGCTTTCTATACACAATGAATTAAAAATAATGCGTGCACTGCGTGATCATCCAAACGCGATAAAACTATTTGAAGTATTCGAAGGAGAACACACATTTATTTCGTAATGGAAATCGTTGAAGGAATATCCCTATACGACGATATAAAGAAACATGCTTAACAACACTACCAAGAGCAAGAAATTCGAGAAATAATGAGAATGCTAATTGATGGAGTATGCTATTGTAATAATAAGAACATCATGCACCGAGATATAAAGCCTGAAAATCTTTTATTTGGTAAAAAAGGTAACTAAAACGTTCTAAAAATAGTTGATTTTGGTCTAGCTACATACGCAGATGAAATCCCTTATATTTTCCCAAAATGCGGAACGCCAGGTTTCGTGGCTCCTGAAATAGCGAATTTAATAGATAAAGCTTAAGGTTATTCTACTATATGTGATATGTTTCTGTAGGAGTAATTTTTCATATTTTATTGACTGGAGAACCTGTTTTCCCAGGTAAAAAATTCAATGATGTTTTAAAAATAAATAAAAATTGTGAAATCGATTTCAATAAAAGAGAATATGATAACCTAAGTATCTAAGCTAAAGATTTATTAATAAAATTACTAGAAAAAGATCCTTTAAAACGTACTAATGCTCAATAAGCTCTCCTACATTCATATTTTACTTAAGCTCATGGTATAGTAAGAGCAAATTCGAGTGATAATATAACCAGAATGAGTTTAGAAGATTTAGAAAATATACCGAATATTAGAGAAAAATAACAATCTATGTTTACAAAACCGCCTAGAATTCCTTATTTAACAAGAGAATAAGGAGATACAGAGGATAATCTGAATTCGTTTGTAACTAAAGATTAGAATTTTAATAAAAATTATAAAGATAATAATCATAATATTAATAATATGTATTATACAATTGGATCTATAGAAGAAGATTAAACAAAAGGATAATTTGGAAAATAAAATTATGAATTAACACCTAATAGTAAATATATTTTTAATAATAAAAATATAAATAAATAAAAATATTTTAAATATAAAGTTAAAAGAAAAGTTAGAGAATCAATATAGGAAGAACATGATGAAGAAGATGAAAACTAAAAATAATGTTAGGAATAATAAAAAATATATTAATTATAATAATAAAGCGAAGATTTGATGAAATAATAACTTTAATAATAATAATAATAATAGTAATAATAATAATAATAATAATAATAATAATAAAAATAATAATAACATTAGTAGTAATAATAACAATAGTAGTAATAAAAAGTTTATGGTTTATAATAAATATTACATCTGTAATAAAAATAATAATTTTGATATATTAATTTTTTTATTAATAATTTTTTTATTTTATTTTTTTTTAAATAAAAAAAATAATAAAAATAAAAAATATAAATAAAATATAATTAAATTTATTAAAATAATTATATAAAACATAAAAAAAAATAATAAAATAAATATAAATATAAATATATATTATAAATATTAATATAAATATATCTATATATTTAAATATTTATTATAATTTTTAACTTTTTATATCTATTGTCCACTATAATTTTCAATTTTATTAATGATATAAATATATTTTCAATATTTTTTTTTCATGATTATTAATTAGCTTTTAAAAATTTTATTTCACTATCTAATATTATTATTTTAGCTTCCATATTTTATAATTTATTTAAAACTTACACAGAGAAATCATCTAGTTTACTTACTACTTATTACAAAGTATTGCTTAATTAAGCTGTCATATTTGTTAATTGTTTTATTTTATTTTGCTAGTTACTATTTTCATTTTTAATTTTTTCTTCTTTATGTTCTTATTTATATGAATTTTATCTTATATAATTATAATTTTATTTCTAATATTCTTTATTTATAAAATTTTACTACTACTCAATATCTTATTATTTTTCGAAATTATTTTTTATTATATTTTCTTATTCTTTTTCAATTGTATTTTTTATAATACTTTCTTTTTTTTAGTGTTATTAAGATAATACAAATAAAGGTTATCTTGGCTATTCCTCTTCTGTCTGAATTTACTATATTATTTATTGTTATTATTATATTTAAGATTAACTATTTTTTTTTAGTTATTATTAAGTATTTTTTAAAACTATTTCTATTACTTCATTACATAAAATAAGTTTTTATTCTAAAAATTAATTTGTGAAAAAATTTTAAAAAGGTAAAGCAACTTTATATGAAAATTCTTTAGCCATTAATTTATAAACAGTTTAAATAAATTTAAGATCATTTAAAGAGAATAATTAGTATCCTTTATCTATTAAAGAATTGTAAAATTCTTTATTATATTCCATAATAGCATAATGTAAAATATTAAGAAATATAATTGGATTTTCTTCATTAAAATTTTTAAATAGAAGCTTTCTACTAAAATTAATTTTATGAATATTTTTTTTTAGCAATTCGCTTTAATTTTATATATTCATTTTTTTTTTATTTATTAGTTTTTCTTATTTCTTTTTTAAAAAAATATAATATTTTAATATTTTTTTAAAAAAAGAATTATAATTATTTATTTAAATTAATAAATAATACAATAAAAAAATAATTTTCTAATTTTTTAATCAAAAAATAATATTTTTCTTTCAGTATTTATTAGCTATTTCTTTTAATTTTCTTAAATATTCTTTATTTTACATGTAAACAGGTGTAATAGGAGATTTTTATTCTAAAGCTCTTTTAAAAGTCTAAGCATCATTAAAAAAGTCTTTAACACGAAAAGTTTTTATTCTCATACCGTCGTTTGAATCTTTTGCATATTTTTCAATTGATTATTAAATGCTAGGATTTCCATCATATAATATTTACAAATATCTGCCCACTAAATGTCTTTTTCCATCATTACTTTTTAATTATCTATTTAAAAGACGGTCTCCTAAAATGTTTGCCGTTCTTACATTACCTCCATTATCTAATATTTATTTTGATACAGTTTAAATTAACCCTAATGTGCCTTTAGGATTGTTTGCTTTTGCGATTACTATTAATTCGTATAATGGCATTATTTTATTTTATTTTTTAATTTTTTATTAACTTAAATTAAATTATTCTATAATATAAATAATTTTATTTTTTCTTATATTTGTATCTTTGTTTTATTTTTATGTAAATTATATTTATTATTATATAAATTATATATAAATATAAATATATATTATAATTATTAATTTATATATAAATATATATATATATATAAATATATATATATATATATATATGTGTTTCTTTTTTTTTTTTAATATTTATATTTTTTTTTATTTATATAGCTAGAAACTTTTTTTAGCTTAAAAATTAAGATAATATTTTATAAATTATTAATTTAATAGAGAATGTATAAATATAGTCTGATAATTTTTATAAATTTAATAAAAAAGAATATCATTATTTATATTAAACGAAATAATATATTTTATTTTAATCATATAAAATTAATTATGTTTAATTGCTAATAATATAAATACTTACATATATTTAATTGCTATTATTTTTTTTTTATTTTTTTTATAATTTTTGAAATTAAATATATAATGATTATATAAAATATAAATTAAATGTCATACTTTTTTTTATATATATATTTTTTATTGTTATGTTATAAAAAAATATACTATTTAATAAAAATAAATATATTATTCTAATAAATAAAATTAATTATAATTATTTAATAATTAATAAAATTTGAAATAATTATATAAATACTTATTTTTTAAAAAATGTTATTAAATATTATACAAAACGGATATAAATAATATTATTATATAAGTTTTAATTAAGTTCATAATTTACACATATTGATATTTAGCATAAATAATAAAACTTAACATAATAATACATAATATCAATCTATTATTTTTCCTTATAAAATAAATATACAAAGCTAATTTTAATTATAAAAAATGTACAAAATTAATACTAGAAAAAGGAAAATCTATTAAATACAAAAAATATATATAAATAATTATAATTTTAACCTAAAAATAAAATTAATAAGAAATAAAAAAAAACATAATATATGTATTATAAAAAAATAATACTTATAATTTTTTTTAAAAATAAATAAATATAAATTCTAGTAAACCAAAAAAAAAAAAAAAAATGGAGGATATAAAATAAGCCATAAACCTTTGCGTAAAACCCTAAAATCAGCAAGAAATAGAAAAAGGCCAATAATTTTTAGAATCCTAAAGCTTACAACCTTAATACATAGTAAAATTACTAGTAATAGCCGAAGATACACAACTCGATATAAATATTAGATAATTCTCATTAGCAAACTTAAAAAACAATATAAAGAAATATTGGAAACCGAAAAAAGATGAGGAACCTCGCTTTACTGAAGAAGATAAAAACACAGTAAGAAATAACATATTAGAAGCTTTAATTCGTTCATCTACTATTGATAAATTATGCAAGCTTTACACAAAAATAATATATGATATCTGCGCTTACGACTATCCTTAAAACTGGTCAGATTTTGTTGACTCTGCAATATAAAAATTGACGACATCTTAAGATGAAAAAGAAATTTATGGATGTTTATAATGTTTACTTTAAATTTTTAGCCATTTATAATTTGAATTAAATGAAAGAAAGCCTTTAGATGATTTAATTTTGAAAACTTTCCCTGCTTATTAACTTCTTTTATAGAAGCTTATCCCTGTATATAATTAAGATAATGCTTATCTTTTAAAACCTATCCTAAAATCATTTTTCATGACCATAAATCTTTAATTATCTATTCATTTATAAAAACCAGAAGCTTTAGATGAATGGTTGAAATTTTTCAAAATGTTAATAGATTCTATTATGGTTAAAATAAAAAAATATATAATCATAAAATAATATATATTAATAATATAAAAAATAGCCTTCTGAATTAACATCACCCACAACTAACCAAGAAATAATGGACTAAAGAAATAAGCATCCTTTATGGAAGAATAAAAAATGGGCTGGCCGTATAATAAACCGCTTCATAATAAGATACTCTAATCTAAAAGTAATCGAAAAAGAACTCATTCCATTAGCCGAATGGTTAATAGAAGCTCATATGCCTAAATATCTTGAATCTTTCCTTAACTAATTAGTTTTATCCCAAAAACAATTCATAGGTAACGCTACAATTCACTTTTCATTAAAATTCTTAGTAAAATCTATCCGATTTTCTAAATTATTTACCATTCTAGTGCCTTATATCGAAACTATTCTCTACGACTGTCTTATTCCCCTATTAAGTTTCACCCCTAGAGAACATGATCTATGGCAAAATGATCCACATGAATATATAAGATAAGAAGATGAATTTATATCTTCTGATGAATTAAATAGCCATAAAATAATAGCTACAGAACTGATACTCAATCTAGTTAAAAACGAATTTTCTAAAACTTAATACTTACTCTAACTTCTCCCTTATTGTGTATCTTATTTAGAAAAAGGCGTAAATCCAAGAAACGAGTCTTAGTAATTATCCCTAGCTACTAAAGACGGAATATTTTTCTTAATAGGCCAATTAAAAGACATTATCATTAGAGAAAACTCTGTAAAAGATTCATTGGAATTGCTACTCTAAAAATACGTCTTTGTAGAATTTTAGAATTAAAACGATATTATAAAAGCCAGAGCATGCTACTTATTAGGTAAATATGGTAATATTGACTTCCAAAACCCCCAAAATATAATTCAATCAGTCTAAGGTATCACTTCTTGTATGGCAAATGCAAATCTTCCGGTCAGATTTAAGGCTGCTTTGGCTTTAAATACTATAATTTAACAAAAGCAAGCCAAAGAATTAATCAAAAATCACCTCTAAGACGTTCTTAAAATTTACTTGAAATTGATGGATGAAATCGACAGTGAAGAACTTGTGTCTGCCTTAGAAGGTTTAGTAGAATAATTTGAAGATTAAATAGCACCTTTTGCCTATGATTTATGTTTACATTTAACTTCTGCTTTTTTCAAATATATCCAGAAATTATCCGATACAGAAAAAGATGAAGGAGAAAGCGAAATGGCAGCCTCTTAGTGTATTTATGCTATAGGTAAAATATATTCTTCTCCGATTTCTTAGTAAGTAGTTTAAAGCCTAGAATCATTAGTTTTACCAGTCATAAATACTTGCTTAACAAAAGAAAACTGTTTTATTGATGAAATCTTACATTTATTATAGTAGATTGTATATAAAAGTTAAAAAATATCAGTTGATTAATTCTTCTATTTCCCTATTCTCACCTATATTTTATGCGGAAAAGAAAACGTGGATTTATCAAACATTAAAGGCCTTAACGAAGAATAAATGAAGCTTTTAGAAAGTGCAGTTATAGGTTGGGGATTAGAATATGTAAATGAAATAGTAATAATATTGAAAAATTACATATAAAAAGGCGATGAATTATTCTGGAATGCAAAAGATATGTTCGGAGTTTCTTTCTTAGAATTAATATTTTTAATAGTGAAAAAAATGTACTTTATAGGCACAAATGGAAAAAACGATGAAGATGAAGGAGGAATGATTAGTTCAATTTAATTATTTTATACTTTAATAGAAAATAATTTAACTTCTGGTAAAATTAACGGAGTTTTATTATAGTAAATTATCACATAAACCTTATCTAATTTAAATAGTTCGAAAATTAAATAAGATGTAGCAGTTGCTAATTTAGATACTTTGTCTCTTTGTTTGTATTTTAATTTTCAAGAAACTCTTAATATTCTATATAATCAATTAGGAGTCTAAGATTTTTTGAAACTTTTCAATAGATGGTTTTCACTACTTTAATTTTTCAAAAATGATTATAATAAATAGAGAATTCTATTAGGATTCTCTACTTTGATATCTTATCCCAATTTGCCTAAAGAGTTAGTTGATTTAGTACCCAGAATTTTAAAGGAGTGTGTTAATATTACTACCTAGATTATCTAATTAAGAGAAGATGAAGAGTTTGAAGAAGATAATAGTTAAGATGGAGGTAATAGTACAGGCGATTTCGCAGATATTGGATAATAGAAATAAAAATATGAAAATTAAGATTATGATGATGATTTCGATGAAAACTTTGATCCGTTTTCCAAATATAAATATAATTATTGGTAATTATTATTATTATTATTTTTATATTTATTTATATATTTTTTATGTTTTAGTTATAACTGTCCTCTTGAAAACGTTGATGAAATTTTATTTTTAGAATAAGAACTAATAAAAGTATAAAGTAATAGAGCATATTATACTCATTTAACAAATCTATTGTAAGATTAAGATAAACTTAAACTTTAAGAAAATATAAACTAAGCAAGAAAGGATTACTAAGAATATCTACAAAATAATTAAAAATGAATTTAGAATTAAAAATATGTGTATTTTTACGATTTTTTTATATTTTATAGATTTTAATTAGTTTATTTAATAAAATAAATATATTTTTTTAAATATATTTAATTATATTAATTATCAATAATAATATTAAATTATAAAAAAATTAAATTTGAAAAAAATAAATAAAATTATAAAAGAAATTCATAAATAAAAAATAAATTATAAATAAAATAAAAAAATGATAATAATAATAATAATAATAAAAATAATAATAAAATATTAATAAGAATAATAATAATAATAATATATTTTTATATATATATTTAATAAAATAAAAATAAATATATTTAATAATTTTTATCTATAAAAAAATTAATCTCAAAATTTATATGATTTTTATTGTATTGATTTAATGTTTTTATCATATTCTTAAATTAATTCTAAAATTTATATATTGTATATATTATATATGCTATACATTCTTTAAATTATCTTAAATTAAATTGTTTAATTTTCAATTCATATAATTCATCAGATTATTAAATTTATGTTTCTATTGATTTTTAATATACTTAATTGGAATAATATATTTAAGTAATTTTATATAAATCAAAATACTATATTAGGTATAATTAACATTATCCATAATTTATATATTTAATTTTAATAGCATTAAGTTATTTATAAAAATAATTATTTTAATAATCTAGAATATAATTAATAATACTAAGTAGAAAATATATATCAATATATAAAACTAAATTTAGAATAGCAGAAATCGATTTAAAAAAAAATATATTTACTTTGTTATTTTTGTTGTTGTAAAATCCAAAATTTATTTTGATTAAAGTATAAGTTAGATATATATTTGATTTTAAAAATTACAATGATTTTATAACACTTATTTAAAAATACAACTATAGATTTACTCGCAGTTATATGTTTAATTAATGAGAATCTTTAAGATTTATATAGAGTTAAATATTATTTAATAATTTTTTAAAAAAATAATATAACTTTTATATTTATAACCAATATTACTTTTTGTGAAATATCCGAAGTTAGTGATAGAGTATTAGAATAATAAGATAATGACAGATAAAAACTAAATAATTAATTACTCATATTTTATTTTTTTCTGCATTTCTTAAAAAACTTAATCAAAAAAAAAATATTTTATAAGTTAGCTTTTTTGTTTTTAATCTATTATTTGCTCATATAGTTTATCGCATTTTTTATATATAAACTTATCAAGAATAAATAAAAAGTATATTAAATTTAATTATTTAATTAAAAATAATTAATTTTAATGGCCTTTTTTTGTAATTAAAACTTTAAAAAGAAAATTAAATAAAAAAATAAAAAAAACCATACAAATAAGTAATAATTTGCAAGATTTAAAATCTTAACTACTTACTAACTCTAAGGCCACTATTTTTGTATCATATGATAGTTAAAAAAAAAGAACTTCTGGGCTTAAGTTTCATTTGAATATAATACTGGAAACGAGAATTCTCCAAATAGACTTAAAGCTTGAAAAATCAAAAGAATAATTATTACCTTAATATTCTTATTTAAATATTAATGTTAAATTTAATAAAATTAACTTTATAAAAAGAACTTAGTTTTAATAATATAAAAAAATAACTAGATCAATCCAATAAAATATGCCCGATTTAAAAGTTCAAATTACAAAATAATATTTGTGAATGAAGTATTTAACTCACATATATTCTTCATGAATTTATAAAACTAAATAATATAAATTAATTTTATAATAATTGAATTTTATTTCTTGGAGTCAGACATAGAGGTCCTGAAAATAAACATGCGTAAAATAATTAAGGAACACCTTAAGTTAGATAAAATGAACAAACCTATATTATAATAATATTAATAAAAATAATAGTTGATTTATACGATAAATACAAATAATTTCTGCAATATAAGGAATTATTGAAAATGTGATGAAGCTATTTAACTAAATTAAAGCACATAAAATTGATTAAATGTATTAAGATTATATATATTAGTTACTTAAAAAAATATAATTATTAAAAAGAAATAATATTAATAAAAAATATTTATATTTTTATAAATTATATAATATAGATAATTATAAAACAAATTTATGTGTTTTGAACTTTTTGGAAAAAAATTAAGAATTTTTTTTTAAGATTTTACTTTTTTATATAATATTCGATTTTATTTTTTTAAATGAAATAAAAATTTTTAAAATAAATATAAATAAATGATAATAATTAAATTTTTTATAAATTAGTATATTTCATTTTTATTAAAAAATTTTAAATGCTTAATTAATATAATAATTAAAAAAAAATATACATTAAATATAATTTTTTCTATTTTTTATTATATTTAATATTCTAAATAATATTATATTTCTATTAGTTTAAAAACAAAAAAATTAAAAATTAATGTATTTTTTAATTTAAATTATAATTATTATTTTACCGCATTTTTTTTAAGTAAATAAAATAAAATATTAATATATTAAAATTTATATATAAATTATATATATAAAATAAGATTCCTTTTTTTTAAAAAAAAAATAAATAAATTAAAAAGCCTTTTTTAAAATATATAAATAAAAATATGATTGATTTAGATATTTATATAGAAAAATATGAATAAAAATTAGAAGAAATACAAAATACTGTTTTCTAACAAAAAGTATTAAAGAAGCCAAAAATAAAATTAAACAGAATTTCAGAAGAAAAGAAGTTTGTACCAATTGAAGTACATATAATTTTTTATTTTATTTTATTTTTTTAAAAAAATAAAGCTAGAAATCGAAATAACAAATAATATAATAATAAAAGATCGTTTTGATTGGAATTTAAATGATGAAAATGTAAATGTTGAAGATTTTGTAAATGAATTTTGTAATTTATTAAATTTACCGAAAATTAATAGAATAAAATTAAAGGATTAATTAATATTTTAAGTATTTTTTTTTTTTAAACAATAAATCCATTTAAAGCATAAATAAAAAAAAGTTAATAGATTTTCTTTAAAAAAACGAAAATCTTTCTCAAAAAATAAAAGATAAAGAATAATTATAAATACCAAATTCTCCAGATAATAACGAAAAAGAAAGACATCAATAAGAAATTATAACTGGAAATTAAACAAAGGAACAAGAAGAAGAAATAAAAAAAACTGCACGTTAAAAAAAGCTCGAAGAAATGAGAAAAAACACATAAAATTATCAATAACCAATAGGAAAATCATCATATTTTCGTGATAAAAAAGTAAAAAAAAAAGACAAAAAATTTGTTATATAAAAATTAAATATATTAGATATGTAGAAATTGTGAATTTTGTAATATTATGCCTGGTTTTGAATGTAAAAAATGCAGAGTGCCTTTTTATTTATTAGATTAAGTTGATCTAAATAATGAAAGAGAAAGCTTTGCAATAAAATTTTATTCAGCAATAGTTTTATATGCACCTATTTTTAATGATTTTTTAAAGGATTATGCTAAAATAGTAAACATATATATATATATATATAAAATCTTCTTTTTATAAAAAATAGCTTTCTAATAATGAATTTTTATAGCATTTATTCATTAAAAATTAAACTTTTTAATATTTTCAAATAAATAAAAGAACTTAGTGATGATGATTTAAAGGAAATTTTCGGAAAAATCGAAGATATTTATAGTAATTTTTTGGCTGGAATTGTAGTTATTTCCGAACAAGATATAACGCCTATAAAAAAAAGGGGAAGAAAACCAAAAGCATGGTATGAAGAATAAGAAAGATTAAAAAAATTAAAATAAGAAAGAAAAGAAAGAGGAGAAGAGGTATCTTCTGATAGTTAATAATAAGAATAATCATTTATCGAAGAAATAAATGAAAATAATTTTATTTCAAATGAAAATGAATAAAATAGTAAATATAAATTAAATAAAAATTATATATAAAAAATAAAAAATAATTAGATTTAAATAATTAAGAATCTTCTCAAAGAACTTCTTCTAGTTCTTCTGATTCTAGTGTATTTGCTAAAAAATAAAGAGGGCGGCCACCTAATAAGAAAAAATATAAAGGTAAAAAAAGAGGAAGAAAACCTAAAAAAGATAAAGAAGTAGTTTAAGAAATAGTAGAGGATGTTGTTTCACCTCCTGTTTAGAAAGTGATTTATAAAAAAAGAGGAAGAAAACCTTCCTAAAAAAATAAGGTTGTAGATATAGAAGATAAAGAATAAAAAAATGAAATTAAAAAAGATTTTAACGAAAACAAAGATAATGAGGAAGAAGATAATAATGAAGATATTGATTAGGATAATATTTTAGATAATAATTAAAATGACAAAAATGATGATATTAATGATTATGATAATAATGAGAAAATTATTGAGGAAAATATTGATAATGAAGAAAAAAATTAAGAAAATTAATAATAATAAAAATATAAAGGCAAAAAAAGAGGAAGGAAAGCTTCTAAAAAAAGAGGAAGAATGAGAAAAAATTGAATTTTTGTATTTTTAAATAAAAAATTTATATATAAAAATATAATTATGAAAAATTTATATTATAAATAACTATTAATTTAAGTGTTTTATATATATTTATAAATACATAATTTTGTTTTTTTAGTCTTATAACACTTTAGTTCTAAAGTTTATTTTTAATATTATTTATTTATTTATTTTTATTAATGATAAATTAAAATTTTATATTAATTTTTTTTTTTTTTCTAGTATTATAAATATAAATAATTTTTTAAAATAATTTATAAACTAAATGCAAATATTTATAATTTAATTATAGTTTTATTAAATAAGAATAAATAATAATAATAAGTAAAATGAAATAAATAATTGAATTAAAAATATACTATAAAATTATTTTATATGCCTGCAAATGAATGTTACTGATTATAAGATTTATTATTTCGAGATTTACTTTTACATTAAGTTATTGAAATTATAAAGTTTTTACTACTAGAAACTATTTGTGATATAGCTTCTTATTTAAGATTATTATCATTTTGAATAATTATTTATATTTTATTTATAAAACTTTAAAATAATCAAATTTATATATAAAATTAAAATATATAATTTGTTAATTTTTAACAGATAAATTTTAATTAAATTACTTTCATATTTATATATATATTTATTGAAAAAATATTAAATATAAAAATAAAAATAATGAATAATATTTAAATAATTGATTTTTTATAATAAACATTTGAAATAAATTCAGGAACAAGTTCTATTAATTTAGATAGTAGGTATTAATTTTTATATATTTTTAAAATATATTAAATAAATAAATAAAAATATTTATATATAAAGAAAAATTTTAGATTTAGAAAATATTATTGAATTTCTTAAAAAATTTTAAAATTTAAAAGATTTATCTTTAAAAAATAATAACTTAAAACACATTCCAGAATCAATAGAATAATTAGAAAAATTAGAGAATTTAAATATATAAAATAACCCATTTTAAAATGTAAAAAAATAATATAGAAATTAATTTAAATAGATAAAAAAAAAAGATAAAACAAATTGCTTAATGTTTAAAATATTTATTAAATTTAAAATAAATAAATATTACGTTAAAACATAATAAAGAAGAACTTTATTTTTTAAAAAATATAAAATAATTAGAAATTATAAATAACAGATGTATAATAAAAATAATAATGTAAAAAAAAATAAAAATAAAAAAAAGAAATATAGGAAATATAAAATGAAGTATAAAATAATGAATAAAAAAATGTATTTATAAACATATAAATATAAAATATTTATATATATATATATATATTTATAGATATATTTATTTTTATATATTTATATTTATTTTAATTTTATTTTATTTTTTTTAAATAATTTTTTTTTTTTTATAAAGAATTTTTTTGTAAATTTAAAAGATTTTGAATTTTTAAAATAATAAGAAATAGATAATGCGATCGTAATATATTAATTTTAATAATAAAATATCTAAAATTAATAAAAAGATAATATTTGATGATATTAGATAAATGTATTAAAATAATTAATTTGAAAATAATCAAGAATTAATGTAATAATTTTAAAATTAAGTTCATTTAATTTTAAATTGCTTATAATAAAAAAATGGATTAGAAGAAAATATTTTTAAATAATATATGTTATAAATAAAATCTAAATATACAATATACGAACTATGTTTTTCTAAAATTATTGATTTTGCAGAAAGTATAGATAGTTTATTTTATAATTCTTTAGTATCAATACACGATTCTCATGCATTAATATTTAAATAGATGTCAAGTATTTCTTATAAAAATAAATATTTTAATTATTTTATATTAATTAATAAAAGAAATAATTTCAGATCAAAATTATAAAATTTAGTTTCTTTAAAACAATTATAATTAATATTAATAAAATACTGATAATAAAAATATAGTATGTTTTTAAAAAATATATAAATAATTAATAAAAATAAAGTACTAAAATTAATTAAATGAATTAAATGAGCAAATATAATAACTAAAAGAAGAAAATAAGCAATATTTAGATAAAATAATTCGTTTATCAAAATTATAAGATAATTCATATATAAAAGAATATACTAAGGAAAATTTTTAATAATAGGAAAGTAACAAAAGAACTTTTAGAGATCACAATTGTTCGCAAATTCAATCATTTAAATATTTACATATAAAATAATTAAAAGAAATAATAAATGAAATTTATACTTCTAAAGAATGGTTTGATAATAAATAAATAAAGTAAAATTTACCTTCATAAACATTAGAATAACATATGTATGAATATTTATCTTAAAAATATGGTTTAAAAGTAAAATTTATTTTAAATAATAAAATAAATAAAAATAAAGAATATGGTTATAGAATAAGCAAATGTAATTATTAATAATTTAAAAAAATATAGTTAAGAAGATAATGATGTTTAAGTTTTTACAAAAATTTTGAAAAATGAATGTGATGAAAACTTCAGATATGTATAAGGATAATTAAAAAAAACAATATAAGAATTATTATTCATGCATTTAAAAGGTAAAAATCCTCTAAAAACTAACGAAACTTAAAACAAATGGCAGATAAAAGAATTAAAGGATATATAAAATTTAAGAAACTTTTGATATTATTAATTATATGTATAATAAAGATGATTCTAAACTATTATAAGATTAAATAAATGAACATATATAATTTGAAAAATAAATATAAACAAACAAGTAATTATTAATTTAAATTGTTTAAAATGTATATGTAAAAAAAATATATTAATAAATTTAAATAAATATATAAATATAAATATATATATATATATACATATAATAAAATACATATAATAATAATTATAATTAATTTTTATTTGTTTTATATAAAAATATATTTTTAATTATACATATACATATATACATATATAATATATATTTTTTTTTATGTATTTTTTTTATAGAGATTACAATTTATAATAATAAAATAAAAAGATAAAATATAATATTATTTATTTGAAAAATTAATTCTTGATTTTTAACTTTAAAGCCACGAAAAATTTTTATAACCTTTTATTTTAATTTTTAAGAAATTTGATGTCGATTAAGATGGTATTATAAATGAAGTATAATATTTTTATAAAAATATTTTTTTATGATATTTTTTAAAACAAATAAGGAATAATTTAGAAATATTATAAATGAAATGTAATTAAATATAAATTAAAATGAAATTTCTAGTTATTTAAGAGAAATATATTCATAAAATATTATAAGAATTACATTTTCTTAAGCTATAAATTTATTTTCCGAAGTAATATAAAAAAAATTAGTATTAAAACATATATTTTTTAATAAAGTAAACTATAATTATATAAAATGTATAAATGTCAATAATGTAAGCTTTATCTTTAAAAAATAATATCGAATGAATATATATATATATAAATAAACATTTTCTAAATAAAAAATAAAAAAAAAATTAAAATCGCTTAAAATTAAAAATAAAAAAATATAAATTAAAAAAAAAAAAATTTAAAAAAATATAATACATATAAATAAATAAAAATATATATATATATAAATATATATATATATATATATATAAATTATCAAATTTTTAATAAATATATATTCATATAAAAATATATTGAAATTTTTTATTATTAAAATTATAATAAAATTAATTATTGTTAAAGTTTGTTTTTAATGTTAACATAATTTAAAATTCGTTAATTTTTTATTTTACTATTAAAAAATTTAAAATCTTATTTTATTAAATATAATATATATTATATA